GGGACCGCCCATGGCAGCATCCAGGTTGTGGAGGTCAAAGTGGCCGGGGGCGCCCCCGAGTCAGACCCGGGGACGCAGTTCATATGCACCGAGTGCGGGGGGAGCTTCCCGGAGCTCGCCAGCCTCAAGGCGCACCAGCTGCGCTCCCACCCGGGCGCGCGCTGCTTCCTGTGCCTGAGCTGCGGGAAGAGCTTCGGCCGCAGCTCCATCCTCAAGCTGCACATGCGCACGCACACGGACGAGCGGCCGCATGCCTGCCACCTGTGCAGCCACCGCTTCCGCCAGAGCTCGCACCTGAGCAAGCACCTGCTGACGCACTCCTCCGAGCCCGCCTTCCTGTGCGCCGAGTGCGGCCGCGGCTTCCAGCGCCGCGCCAGCCTCGTGCAGCACCTGCTGGCGCACGCCCAGGACCAGACGCCCGCCTGCGCCCCCGAGACCGAGTCCGAGGTGACGGAGGCGCCGCAACTGGCCGTCGTCCTGTGCTCCCAATGTGGCCAGACCTTCCAGCGCCGCTCCAGCCTCAAGCGCCACCTGCGGATCCACACCAGGGACAAGGACCGCCTCTGCCCGGACTCCAAAAGTCGGCCATTCGCGTGCAGCGAATGCGGCAAGGCCTTCCGGCGCAGCGAGCACCTGGCGGCCCACCAGCGCGTGCACACGGGCGAGCGGCCCTTCTCGTGCCAGGCCTGCGGCCGCAGCTTCACCCAGAGCTCACAGCTAGTCAGCCACCAGCGGGTGCACACGGGCGAGAAGCCCTACTCCTGCCCGCAGTGCGGGAAGCGCTTCATGCGGCGGGCCGGCCTTGCCCGCCACCTGCTGACCCACGGCGGCCCGCGGCCCCACAACTGCACCCAGTGTGGCAAGAGCTTCAGCCAGACGCAGGATCTGGCCCGCCACCGGCGCAGCCACACCGGTGAGAAGCCCTGCCGCTGCAGCGAGTGTGGCGAGGGCTTCAGCCAGAGCGCCCACCTGGCGCGCCACCAGCGCATCCACACCGGGGAGAAGCCCCACGCCTGCGACACCTGCGGTCATCGCTTCCGCAACAGCTCCAACCTGGCCCGCCACCGCCGCAGCCACACCGGCGAGCGGCCCTACAGCTGCCCGACATGCGGCCGCAGCTTCCGGCGCAACGCCCACCTGCAGCGGCACCTGGCCACCCACGCGCAGCCGGGCCAGGAGCAGGCCGAGCCCGCCCAGGAGTGCACGGAGTGCGGCAAGAGCTTCAGCCGCAACTGCAACCTGCTGCGTCACCTGCTCGTGCACACTGGCGCCAGGCCCTACTCCTGCTCCCAGTGTGGCCGCAGCTTCAGCCGCAACTCCCACCTGCTGCGCCACCTGCGAACCCACGCCCGGGAGACGCTCTACTAGCTTAGCCGGTGTTTCTGCCGGCCTCACCCTGCGCCACCTCCCCGCGGCAGCTGAGGCCCACAGGGACGCCCCTTCCCTGCACGCCCCACCTCTCTCTGCCTCCACGTCCACACGTCCGCCTTTGTGCTTCCCTTCCCGAGACGTTGCTTCCGGCCTCAGCAATGTGTTCCAAATGCCCAAAGTAAAACGGCCTTCTCCAAAGTGGTCCCTCTCTATGTCTTTGTGAGTCTGCCCAAATGCTAACTGTCATCTTTCCTTCTGTGGCACGGAGACATCTTTCTCCTCCATTCCTGCAACTTTTGTAGCAGGGAGCGGAGGAGTTCCCCCTGGGAGCAGGCGGGAGGGGAGGAGCCTCGCCAACCGGAGTGGGTGGGTAGGGAGGGTGCCGGCAGTCACGGCCAGCTGTGGCTCAAGGATTCTGACCCTGGAATCTTTCCTCCGACAGAGTCTACCCCCAAGTCTGTGCTGTGCTAGGATAGAGTCACGTGTGCCTCTTAAGTTTAAATTAATTAAAATGGAGGCGGGCGGGGCTCACGCCTGTAATCCTAGCACTCTAGGAGGCCAAGAAGGGAGGATCACTTTGAGGTCAGGAGTTCAAGACTAGCCTTAGCAAGAGAGAGACAGACCCCCGTCTCTACCAAAAATAGAAAAAATTAGCCAAGCATGGTGGTGCCTTCCTGTAGTCCCAGCTACTCGGGAGGCTGAGGCAGGAGGATCGCTTGAGCCCAGGTGTTTGAGGTTGCTATGAGCTAGGCTGACGCCACGGCACTCACTCTAGCCTGGGCAACAAGTGAGACTCTGTCTCAAAAAAAAAAAAAAAAAAAATGGAATAAAATTTAAAATTCTATTTATTTATTTTTTTTTTTTTTTGAGACAGAGTCTCGCTTTGTTGTCCAGGCTAGAGTGAGTGCCGTGGCGTCAGCCTAGCTCACAGCAACCTCAAACTCCTGGGCTCGAGTGATCCTTCTGCCTCAGCCTCCCGAGTAGCTGGGACTACAGGCATGCGCCACCATGTCCGGCTAATTTTTTATATATATATCAGTTGGCCAATTAATTTCTTTCTATTTATAGTAGAGACGGGGTCTCGCTCTTGCTCAGGCTGGTTTTGAACTCCTGACCTTGAGCAATCCGCCCACCTCGGCCTCCCAAGAGCTAGGATTACAGGCGTGAGCCACAACGCCCGGCCTAAAATTCTAGATTCTGTATTACTATGGGAAAGGTCTGATTTTTCTAGAATGTTGGTAACTAGTTCAAGCTGCAAATGCTCACAGGTAAACCAGACCTGCCTGTAGGCCAGTCAGGCTGTCCGCTGGGGACCTGCTGGCCGGGTATGTGTGCCCTGCCTGCCCACCAGCTGCCTTGGCCTGTCTCCCTGTCTCCGTCGCACCCCCCCCTTCAGATTTCAAATCACGTGACTTCTGTTAATAGTAAAATCCTAGGAAGGAAAAATAGTGCCCCCCAGTCCCTGAGCACACACACTTCCTGCTTTAGTCTGTGGCTATTCAAGGACAAAAATATTGTGTCTTAAATATTTCCACAGCCCCCCCACCACCCTGACATGTAACTGCTGCTTGACAAATGTTGAAAGTGACGAAATTCATCAGCGCTCAAGAGACTGAGGGAGCTCTGCCCCAAAGTCTGGGAGGAAGGGGAGGTGGCTCTTGAGCACAGTTGGGCGGAAAAGCTCCGAGCCTGAGGAAGGCCCAGCTCTTTGGAGGGTGGGAGGAAGATTTGGGGTGCAGAGAGTCACCAGATGTCACAACAAATTCATCTCATGAAAGACCCTAGAGAAGAACATTTCCAGAAGAGAGGATGAGTCAACTACCAGCGGTTGAGCAGTTCGGAGCGCCCGCAGGGTTTGAGGCCTTTGTGCTGGGTGCCTGTTGCCTGCCAGGGACTGCGGGGTTATTGAGGCCTCAGATACAAGGGAGGGGCAGCCTAGGATGGATGGGGGAGGGTGGCCCAGGCACAGGGGACAGCATGCGCAAAGGCCCTGAAAAGGGAGGAGCTTGGCAGATCTGCCGGGGCCTGGTGACATGGGCCAGACAGGCCAGGGCCAGGGGTCGTTTACAGTGGGAAGACCGGGAGAGGTTTTTAGGTAGGGAGATATTTCAGGGTTTTTTGTTTTTTTGATATTTCATTTTTAATAATAAAGTCATTTAGGCTTTGGCTACTGGCTGGAAATGGCTTGGAGAGGCAAGGCCAGGAACACTAGCTAGGAAGCCACTGCAGCCATCCAGGCTCACAGTGCCAGTGGCCTCAACAGGGTGGTGGGGCTGCAAGAGCCCCTGGTGACTTCAGCACAGTGGGTAGGCTTTCTAGGTAAGAAGAAGACGAGTGGGGGCCATAAGGGAAGGCGTGAGTGGAGATTGACGGGGGGACTGGGGGTGTCACTCGGGAAGCACAGGGAAGAGGTAGAAAGAACTTGAACATGGTGGAGGGGAGTTCCGAGCACACAGCCAAGGACAAGGAAAGGCTGCGTCAGGGCCTGGCAGTAGGCAGCCCCTCGGAGCCAGGGGTTCAGGCCAGAGATGTGTCTTTTGGTCTCAAAGGGACATCAGAGGATCTCCAGGATGGGAAGGAAGACAGAGTGGGGACCCTCTGGGGCTCTGAGAACAGAGCTGGCAGATTGGGTCACCTTCTTCCCTTCTTCCTCAGGAAGCAGGCAGGGCCAGGAGAGCCGAGCAGGGCCCTGCAAGGCCTGGGGGGGGAGGGGCTGGGAGCAGGAAGGTCCCACCAAAGGCTAAGGTCACTGTCCAGCCATTTCCCCTGCTGGGCTTCCAGCTGGCCCCATAGGATGGTTGTTCTAGAAAACTCATTCCAATGGTGCAAAGAGGTCAGAGAAAGGAGTGGCATACTGACCACCGAATGCCCTCCGCGAGGCCTCCTGGCCCCCAGCCCTTCCCACAGCCTTCGACAAGCCCAGCCCCGCCCCAGACGGCAAGTGTCCTCCCCGTCTGTGTGCATCAGCCTGAGGCCGAACGTGGGAGAGGAGTGAACAGTGGCCTCAGAAATGGTGAGAGGTGTTGCCCCTCCCCCAAGCCCCTGAGTGCGGCCCAAGGTCCGCAGGTGCAGGTGGGGGTGAGGGCCCAGGGATATGACCACGGCCTCCTCCCTCCTCTGCCTTCAACCCGGGCAAGTGGGGCTGAGTCCCCTCTGCTCTGCCTCAGCCCAGCTGGAGTGCCGAGGGCAGAAAGGGGTGTCACGAGTTGAAAAACATGGGGCCAAAGCACCCTCACACCCCAGGTCCCTGCGGCCCCAGGAGCGGGCGTCCCCGGAGCAACTGCTGCCATAGGCAACGCACCCACCCAGCTGAAATCCTCGGGCCTGCGACTGACTGTGCGGTGATCAACATCCCGTTGTAGACGAGAGAGGGCAGACGGCTCGTCCTTGCTCAACCAAAGCCGGAAGTCCAGCCTGGGTCCATCTGACCCGCCTCCTCTGCCTGTCACCGTGGGGCCCCCTGTCTCCCGCCTGCCCCAGACCCCCACCTGGGCCTGCCTGTCAGAGAAGACGCAAGGCAGGCACCGGATTCCATGTAAGCAGCCTTTTTATGTGGACTTTAGGGCGAGAGGCCAGGTCAAACTGCAGCAGGGAGGTGAAGCGGGGCGGGGGTGGGGTGGGGTGGGGTGGGGTGGGGTGGGGTGTTGGTGGTTGGGATGCGGAGAGGGAGGGGCCGAGGGAGGGGGTTGGGGTGAGCAGGGGGGCAAAGGCCATGTGAGAAGATTTGGTCTGAGACCTGGGGACTCAGGTGCGTCAGCACGCCCCTCAGTCCGCCTGGCCGGGCTCCCTAGACCTGGATGGAAAACAGGAAAAGCACCCCTTCAGGCTGCAGCGGAAACGCTCCAACATGCTGCAGATGGCCGTCCAGAGACGGACCGCCTTCTGGGCAAAGGCTGACCACTGCTTCTTCATCCAGGACAGCGCGTCCTGCCACCTATTCAGCATTCGGTCTATCATCCCTTGGAACAAGGTCAGCAGCCACTCAGGCCCCTGGGCCTCTGGCTCTTCCGGGACAGAGGGCCCCTGGGCCGCTGGCTCTTCCGGGACAGAGGGCCTCTGCACCCTGCGGCGAAGTTCCGCTCTCATTTCTTGATCTAGAAGAGGGGACTCCTGCGGAACGGGGGGCAGTGTGAGGTCTGGAGGGCAGGGGGGCGGGAGGTGCAGCCCAGGCCCTGACCCCACCAGGCCTCTCAGCCTCCGCATGGGTCTGGGACACAGAAGCCACAGACGCTGGCTTCCGGCTGGCAGCCCCACAGACACAGATATGAGGGACTTTTCCCAGAGGGCCTCCCCTTGAATTCCCCCCCGTGGCACAGCCATGACACTTGTATCTGCCCATTCCCTGACGGCTTCTGCGTGTCCCCCAGCCCACCGGGGCTCAATCTTGGGTGGAGTTGAGAGCGGGGTTTGGCCCCTGTGTGCGGGGGCAAGTCCGGAGTGGCAGCCCTTTGCCTGGGGGTGGGGAGGGCTGGCATACCCGGGCCCACACCTAGAGGAGAGAGGGCAGGGGGTGAGGGAGAGGCCAGGGGGCCGAGGTGGGCACCTCAAACTCACCGGCTCGTCAGTCCCGTAATCAGTTTCCAGGACTTCAAGCGAGGTCTCAGTGAACTTGTCCTAGGGAGAGGAGGGCTACTGCAGGCCCCGCTGTCACCTCCCAAGGGTCCAGGTGAGCCACAAGGGGACCAGGAGCCCAGACCCAATAACCTGGAGAGTCCAAGTCCTGGGGACTAAGCTTCGTGGCAGGGGTGGGGGGACACCTTACCTCCAGCTCTACCATGCTGGACTGGACCTGTTAGGAAGAAATGGCTCAGCTCCAGGCCCCGCCCCCTTGCTCTCAGCCGTCCTCAGCCCCCACACATCCCGAACCGGGTCCAGCTGGGCGCCCTGGGCTGGCATCGTGTTGTGCCGTTAGTGTTCTGTGGGACCACCCCCACCCCCATGCACTCATCTGCCTGCAGGGGTGCGGTGAGAGGGCTGGGGCTGCAGGCTTTGTCCAGCGCAGGGGTGACCAAGCTGAGCTTCATCATGGTCATCAAGAAACCACTCCCCACGTTGTGGAGAGCCTGGGGGTGGGGATGTCTGATCTGGAGCCTGCTGGCCCATGGACCTACCTGTTTATGTGCTGCGATTTGACTTAGTATAACATCCACGGAATTATCTAAGATCTGGTGCTGTGAAGAGAGGCAGAGTTGGGGCCAAAGGGTCCCAGGTGGGCTAGAACACCCTGGGCTGCACAGGCTGAGAACCCCGGCCCCACCCAGCACCCTGAGCACGCAGGGGGAAGAGCCTTACCATTTTGTCCCTCAAAGTCTCACAGGCAGCAGGGTTGAGCTGCCAACAGGGTGGGAATAACAATTACACTCAGGCCGTAGGTGATGCCCGCCCCCCCCCCCGACAGACAAGCTACACACACACACACACACACACACAGGTACACACAAACATTTGCAAGGATGTGAGAGTTGGCTGGGGGAGGGGCTTGTTAGGGATTGAGGAGCTGAGCAGTGGCCATTCCTCTCTGAGGTGCTTTACTGAGATTTGGGGGTACCAGGTGTGCTCCGCCGTGTAACCAGCCACTCCTCCCAATTGCCAACTTGCTGGCTCACAGCCCTGGCCATTCTGCAGACACCTGGCTGGACCCACAGGGGCAGGAGGCACCCCAGAGACTACCCCTGGGTCCGTGTCTTAAGGCCCCAGGCTGGTGTTGGTGGCTGGACATGCCTGGCTTCTCAGCCTGCTGAGTGGTCAGTGCCACTCCCAGACTGTGCGTGGCCCCTGTCTGCACACTTTGAGTCAGTGATGGTACCATCCTGCCAGCTCAATTTCACAAGAAATAGGGCAAAAAAAGAAATACTATGCCAGCCAGTGGGAATAAGCCACTTCCCAGATCACCCCCCGAACCTGGGTCCAGGTGCTGGGCCCTGGAAAAGCCCATGGTCACAGGTCTCAGAGCTCCCTGGAGGACCTGGTTGGCCTCACCTTTGGGGTGGGCTATGGCAGGGGAGGGGAGGTTGGAGGGCACCTCGGTAGGGAGGAAGGGACACCGACACCCCCGGCCAGTGCAGGTCGTGCTCTTGGGCCGCCTCAGCCAGGCCACCCCCTGGGAGGGACTTTCTGTGGGAAGTTTCCAGAAAGGCACTGCCCCTCTGCCCAGGTTGCCCAGATGTGAAGGGCTGGGACTGGTGTGTCTTCTCATCCCGCAGACCTGCCATGCGCCAGCTCCCCCCACAAACAGGCAAACAGGTGAGGTCTAATTTCTCAAAGAATGCCTTATCCCATAGCTATATGGTCACTCAGTGTCCCTGACCTGGCCCTGGCACACGCACACGCACACGGACACAGGGAAGTACTTAGAGCACATGCCAATTTTCAGACTCCTACACAAAGGTGCGCCAAGCGCAGCCCCGGTAAGTTCCCTCCTAGCCTAGTGTTGGTCCCATGACCAGGGTCTCCGTGTGACTTGAGAGGCCCACAGCGAAACAAGCCTGTGGGTCCGCTAATCAGTGATGGCCCAGAACTCTAAAAGGGTGACAGCCAAGCATGCCCCCCACCACGCAGGGGCCATGAGGAGCTGGGGCTCACCTACCTGTGAAGCCCGCTCTGCCCCCCCAACCTCCCCCAGGGGGCAGGGGAGAGTGGGACTGAGCCAGGGGGATCTGGAGGGAAGAGCAGGGGTGGGGCCGGTGCTGGGGGAAGGGGCACGCTCTGCGGAGATGGGGTTCCAGGCTTGTCCCCATCACCGAGCTTACCCACCTTGGAGTAGCACATGGCAGGCAGTGTAGGTTTCTAGGGGAGGAACAGGGATGAGAAAAAGTGTCTCAGAGAAGCATCCCCCCACCCCCACCCCCGTGTCATTAGCCTCAGGGACCCCAGCTCCCCCCTGGGAAGACCGGACAACCCAGCCCGCCCCACTGAGACAGTCACCTTCTCCTCTCTGTCGTAGTCCTTGTCCTCCTCGCACAAAGGCCCGCTGGCTGCTGCCCCAGTGGGTTTTAGCACACAGGAGGGAGGGGCTGGGGGCGGGACATTCCTGGAGCTCAGGGGCAGGAAGCCAGCCGCCCGCCAAAGTTTCCCTTTCTATAAGGGCACCAGTCATGTTGGATTAGGGTGTCATGCCCACTCTCTCCGGCCCCACACAGAGACACCACACACACACGCAAGGCGTAAAAAGGAAAAATTTATTACTAGCTCGAGCTAGGGTCCAAGGCATACAGCAACGCGCTATTCAGACCTCGGACCTGGTCTAGGGGCTTACAAGCTTTTTATACTTTCAGTTTACATTGCTTTACACAGGGCGCGTCTGTTGTGGTTTTTTGGTTTTGCCAATACCCAGAATCTCTCCGGATGCTCTATTGTAGCTAGGCAGGGGTTTATGTTTTGTTTTGTTTTGTTTCTTTTTCTCGGAAATTCAGGGGGTTTCTGCCCAAGGCCCGTGCTGCTCTCAGACGCCTGTCATGGAGGTACTCATGTCCAGCAAACAAGCAGTTTTACAGAAGCAAACAGGCTGTCAAGTGGATAGGCGGTTGGACCTTACGCAAGCGGGTTACAAAAGCCGATGGCTGGTTAGGGTTCTTACAAGCATTCACTCTGATGATGTCATTGTAAGTTGATGACCTCTGTAAGACCCTATCTCCAAATAAAGGCACATTCTGAGGTACTGAGAGTTAGAAGTTCAACATAGGAATTTGGGGAGGCCAGAGTGCTGCCCATAACAGCCCTGCAGGGGACCCAGAGAGACAGAATCCATAAACCACACTTCCTTGGTGAAAGTTTCACTTGGGTTAACTAGCCACCAGCCCTCACCTTTCTGCCACTTGGGAGTCCATTCAATTGTCTGAAACCTCCTTTCCCCACACGAGAAGTCTGGATGCCATCTCCGCACCTAAATCCCAGAGCAGGAGAGAGAAGGAAGCTGCTCCTGCACGACCTGAAAGTAATGCTGGGGCTTCCTCTCCCAGAGGGAGTCCCCCGACCCCACCCAACACTTGACCCCTCCATGACCGTCTCACAGAGGCCACCATGTGAAGGCATGTTGTGTTCCGTTCCCGATTGTACCATGTTTTTATAGCTTTATTGTGATATAATTCACAAGCAATGCAATTCACCCATTAAACTGCACAGTTCAATGCATAGTGTTGGGCAGGGATGGGGGTGTGCAGGTGGCAGGGCAGGTGACACAGGAAGTGGTCAAAGGCTGACAGTCAGGATCAATAAAAACAGAGAAAAGCCGGGCGCGGTGGCTCACGCCTGTAATCCTAGCACTTTGGGAGGCCAAGGCGGGCGGATTGCTCAAGGTCAGGAGTTCGAAACCAGCCTGAGCGAGACCCTGTCTCTACCAAAAATAGAAAGAAATTAATTGACCAACTAAAAATATATATATACAAAAAAAAAATTAGCCGGGCATGGTGGCGCATGCCTGTAGTCCCAGCTACTCGGGAGGCTGAGGCAGAAGGATCGCTGAGCCCCGGAGATTGAGGTTGCTGTGAGCCAGGCTGACACCACAGCACTCACTCTAGCCTGGGCAACAAAGTGAGACTCTGTCTCAAAAAAAAAAAAAAAAAAAAAAAAAAAAAAAAAAAAAAAAAAAAAAAAAACCCAAACAGCAAGGACTTGAGGTTAGGGACTTTTCCTGACCAGGAGCATGCACAGAAGATAGGAGCTTATGACAAAAGTAACCTCTAACATCATAAAACTCACACCCCACAGTTTTCCAGAGCCAGCCACGCAAGGACAGAAAATGAAAGGGTACATGATTCCGGGAATCTCTACCACTTCCCTGAAAAGATATGAGTATTCTCCCTGCACCCAATCAACCCTGGATTCCAACTTCTTCTGCAAAGCACAGCAACTCAGATCTGCCCACTTCCTGCCACCAAACCTCACCCCAGATCCACCAATGTTCAGAAGAATTAAAGGGATTTCTCTCTAATCATTTTTATTGTCCTTCTGGGTGGGAGCGATACGTTTCTAAAACACAAGTTTCCCCCTCCTCCTTCTTGGAAAGAAAACTGGCAGAGGCCCAGATGGCTTCCGGGTGGAGTGGAATTCTCACTCATTGACTGGTGAGGATGCCTGGCTTTTGTCCTCGTGCTGGTCTGGTTGTCATGAGCAACTGGGGACAACCTCCCCTGGTCACTGGGCTCCAAGCAGCACTGTGGGGTCTCTGAGGATGGATGGCAACCTATGAAGTGGCCCACTCACTCAGCGACTCCACCTATGGCGAGGTAGCCACCTCTCAACCAAGACCATCACTGTGCTTCTGAAGAAAATATATGGAGTTTGGTCCCTGGAAGGGAGAACCCTACAGAGCCACAGAAATGCCACAAGACAGCCAGCTGCTGCCACCCCACCCCCATAGTTAAATGCAGATTCCTGGCCCCTGGAGTGACGATTCAGGGTCAGGGCATGGAACCTGCATTTTTATGTTTCCCAGTGATTCTGATGTGGAATATTCTAGAAGCATGGTTCCAGGGGCAACGACTCAGATTCTGAATCTGTGGGGAGTGGGAGGTGACTGGGGTGCCTCAGGTTCCACCTACCCCTCACCCAAGAGCTAGGGTTACCCACGAGTGCCATGGATGCAGCCTTCAGGCCTGAGAGAGGGCTGGGGCCACTGTCTTCCCACCGGCATGGAGCTGGTGGGAGCCGCGCTGTTCCAGGGGAAGCCGCCAAGACTGCGGGGTGCAGCGGGGAGATGTTTATTAGGGAGAGGAGGGTGCCCCATCGCGCGGCAGGCAGTTCTGGATCCAGGGTGCCTGGAGTGGGGGTGACCAGAAACGAGGGCAACGGACCCTGGAGCGCGGGGGTCGCCCGTGTGCCCGCTGATGACACCCCGGACGTGGGGCACGGGTCCTCAGGGGCGGTGTCTGTGCTGGGCCCGCGTCCCGGGTCCCCACCACTGTGGCCGAGACTGCGGGGGACGCTGCGGGAGCAGGACGGGGCGAGAAGCCGCGGGGAGCTCGGAGCAGCGGCTGGGAGGGGGCTGGGGCTCGGTCCCCCAGTCAGGCCCGCCCTCCAGCGACCCACGCGGACGCCAAACGCTGTCGCTGTCGCCGGGCGGGGTGGGCGCTGGGGAGGGCGCGGCCGCCGCGGGAAAGGCCACTCCGGAGCAGGAGGGCCCTGCGGGGACGCCCCGGCCGGGGCGGGCTTGCTCCCCCCACGGGCGGCACGTGTGTCCAGTCCAAGGCCCCGCCCCGCGGCCACCACCCGCTCCCCCGCCGCGTCCCCAGGCCCGCGAGAGAGTCCGCAGCGCCCCCTGGCGGGCTCCGGAGGCGGCGCCGGGGCCGCGTCCTCGCCGCGCAGTCGCCCCGCCGGTCCGCCCCGCGCCGTCCGCGCGAGCCCCGGGCCCTGGGGACGCGCGAGGGGGCTCCAGCGGTGGGGGCTCCGGCCGCTTGCAGAGTAGGAGGCCCGGGACGTCCCGTCAGCGGGAGGCGACGGCCCCCGCCAGCAGGGCCAGGAGCAGCGGCAGGCGGGGCGCGGTCCTCCGCCCAGCGGCCTGATTGATCTCGCACTGACAGTCGCAGGGGGTCTCCTTGGGCGGACGGGGTGCCCGAGGGCCAGAGCTGGGGGCGGGGCAGTCCAGCCACGTGGGCCCCATGGGCTGGGGGGAGTCGGGTTCGGTCTTGACGCTGCCTTTGGGAAAGCGCCAGTAGTGGGCGCCCTTGAAGAAGTAGGTGTCACCTGCGGGGCAGGGGACACTTGGGTCTTGGCCAGGCCTGCCCCGGCCCGCCGCTGCCCGCCGCGCCCCCCGCACCCGGGGCCAGCAGGTCCCAGGGCTCCGGCCCCTGCCCCGCGCCCGCACCTGAGTTGCTGACGGTGACGTCGTCCGGGGCTGGGGGCGCCCCTTCCCAGAGGCTCAGGTCGCGCGGGTAGCCCGGGTCGGGGCGCGCCGCCGCCTCGTCGTAGCGCCAGTACTGCTGGCCCCGGATCAGGTAGGTCTTCCCGTTCAGCGGCCACGAGAACACGGCGTCCACCTCCGCCCCCGGGGGCAGCCCCAGCTCCGTGAGCGGCCGCGCCCCGCCCTCCAGCTGCCGGTCTTGGAACACCCAGAACTGGGGGCCTGGAGGGAGGACGCTGGCGATCAGGGATCAGGGTGGGCTCCCCACGCCGGGCCCGCCTCCCGCCCCCACTCACCGCTGAACAGCAGGATCCGGCCGTCTCCGTGCCGGGCGTTGGCGGCCTGGACCGCCCTCACCTGGGCGGGCAGCCCCTCCCAGAAGCGGTGCAGCCGGGCAGGCCGGGGCGACACCAGCTGTCCGGAGGGCTGGACGCGCCAGAACCAGGGGCCTGTGGGGGGAGACGGGGCCGGCATGCGGTGGTCGGTGGTCAGTCTTCTCCCCCCATGTCCCCCCCCCCCCCGTGGCTGGGTCTTCGCTTCCCACAGCAGGGGGGTCCTTCTGGAAACCAAGTGCAGTGGATCTAGGGTGACCGACTCATCATGGCTTGTCGGAAGCTTTCTCTGTTTTTAGCAGTGAAAGTCCCACTACCCGGGAAAGGCTACAGCCAGGGTGGGTTGCCCTAAGGGGGGGGGCAACTGTGTGGGGGTCAAGGATGGTGTGAAGTGGCTCACCTTTGAAGAAGAAGGTCTCCCCCCGGATGTTGGCGATGGCGTCGAAATTGCCTTCACATCGATCAGGGACCGGTTCTGAGGGGCTGGGCAGGAAGGACAGGTGAGCAAAGGGGTGGGGGCTCCTTATTTCCTCGCTTACCCTTGAGGACAGTCCTATGAGGCAGGGACTCATACCATCCCATCCCCAGAGGACACTGGGGCTAGGCAGCTGGCCACCCAAGCTCCTGAGGCTGGTGGGAACTCACCTGTCCGGCGGCAGGGCTGGGGGCTGGGGAGGAGGCGCCAGGGGTTTCCTCGTGGGCCTGTCATATGGGGTTTGGGGCGCCTTCCCTGTGGGGACAGAGTCAGGTGGGCGTGGGTGCCCTGGCCCTGCTGCAGAGGCCAAAGGCAAGCCACACCCTGATTTGGGCCAGTGCCCCCCATACCGTAGAGCTGCTGCAGGCCCTCCCGGTCATCCTGGGACAGCCGGTACTTGTCAGGGTCACCCACTGGGCCCTGGTAGAAGGGCCTCATAATGGAGTTGGGTGCCGAGGAGTGGCCCAGGCCCAGGGCATGGCCAAACTCATGGACAGCCACAGCAAACAGGTCGGTGCCTTCACCATCTAAGATGGGGGAGAGTGGGCTGGAGCTGAGACCACCCCCAACCAGGAAAGGGGCAGCCCAGGAAGTCCCTAGGAGTGGGGCCTGCTGGCCATCAGGAACAGCCAGGACACCCTCTGGAGGTAGTCCTGGCCTTCTCTGACCAGACCCTGCCCCAGCCATTTCTTCAGCCCTCCGTCCATTCACCCACTCAGCATGGCAGGGCGGGACACTGGCCTGCCTGCCTGAGAAGGCAGGACCTTACACTGATGGAGCCCCCCCAGGAAGGGAAGACTCTGTGCGCAGACACTTTGAGGGGGCAGGAACCTAGGGAGCGCATGCAGCCCTCGCCAGGAAGCTGCAGCCCTTGCAGCACCCCCTCTCCCAGCTCCAGTCTGTGGTCAGAGACCCCCCTCCGTTGCCTCCTTCTGCTGGGAACACAGGCCAGTCTCCTAGGCCTCGGCTCCCAAGACTTCCCCCATCCCCACCCCATGGCCCCTCTGCTCCCCCTTTCCTTCCATTCCCATCCCTCCTGGAGCCACATCCCTTCCTCCTCCTCCTCTCCTCCCCGTCCTCGCCCCTCCCCCACTGCAGCCTTGCTCCTCTCCCCGCACCCGCAGCCCCTCCAGCAGGCACTCTCAGACCACAGCCCGCTGGCCCGGCCGCCCAGCCTCTTCCCACCACAGCGGCCTCTTCCCTTGGGATCCAGCCCCGGCGCCAGGAGTGAGCCTGTTCGCGCTCCAGCCCGGGCCAAACCCCAGCTCCCCATCGATCCAGCCGCCAGCTGGCCCCTGCTGGGGCCACTGATCCAGCCCGGGAGAGGCCGGAAGAGACAGAGACAGCGACACAGCAGGGGCAACCCCAGCAGGAGGCACAGATTTGCCCAGATGTCATCTGCCTCCTGGAAATCTCTAGCAGGGGTTAGCAGCGGTGGAGCAGGTTTATAGGAAGTGACCTGGTGAATTGAGAAGCACACCGTCCTCAGCCCCTGCAGGCTGCTGGATGGGAGCCTAAGAATGGAACTTTTGGGCCAGCCCTGAGAAGAGTAGCCTCATTTACTTCTCACCAAACCTCTATTTCCTAGCCCCATTTTACAGAGGAGGAAACTGAGGCACACACAGAGAGGTCAAGGCAGGTGGCCAAGTACCCCGGCTATGCCGTCCTGCCTTTTAGCAGTGACTTAGATGGTCTCCATCAAATTGCATATGTCCTAATGAATCTCCATGTCAACAGTAGGTTTTCCTGTTGTTCTGAGTCCTTTTTTCTGAGAAATTGGAGGAAGTTTGGTGTCTAAATCAGGGCTATCTCTTTCATCTCTCACCTCCCTTCCCTGCCTTGCCTCTCTTTGGCTGCACTGGGCTTCCGGGCCATGCACCTCTTCCTGCACCCTTCTCACGCCATGCCACTGGAGGAAATTACACAACCTCAGCCACCGTGCAGGCCCAGCCCCTGGAGATTCCTGGAGGGCAGTCTGCAGGGGCCCTGGCACTCCTCCACCTGCCCCGTGCTCCCCCCTCAGCCTCCACTCAGGGCCCACAGCCCCTCAGGCTTCCACCCAGCCCCAGCCCCCAGCTCTCAAGTCACGACTGCAGACAAATGTGTTTCCTCTTTCATCAAGGCTGGCCATCGATGTAACATGTCACTTCCGGTACGCCCAGAGCAGATAGTTTCATCTCCCCTGTGCTCACTTCCTGTCCTCTACCTTGCCTCAAGGACCCTGCCTGGATCACCTCTTCCAGGGCAAGGACACTGTCCCACCCATCCCCGACCCCTTTCTTGCTATTGGCTCATCCAGCGTCCTGCGTGCTGCGTGCTCAGCCTCCCGCATCCCAGGGTACTCCTTGCTCTGCTCTCGGCCCTCCCTTCCCAGCCAAGTTGTTAGGTCAGTGGTCTCAACTCAGTCTCCACTTCCTCTGCTCCTCTCAAGCCTAACCCCACTGCGGTCTGGATTCCTCCCCTGCCCACTGAGCCTGCAGGCGCTAAGAAGGTCACGCTGCCCCTGGTTGAGCAAACACAGGCCATGTAGCTCCCCGGCCTTGTTTGCTGCTCCGTCACCGCCGACTACTTCCTTCTTCGCTCTTGTTCTTGATCACTTTCGCTGTTCTGTCTCCATCTCCAGTGATTCCCCTTCGCCTGCTGCCTGCCTCCCCTTAGTGCTGCCCCATGGTGCTCTCCATGGCTCTGAACCTGACCTTCACAGTCTAGATTTCCTCCCAGGAGCCTTCCCAACCCCCACAGGCTGCTGACTCTCAAATCTGCCTAGGCCCAGCTCTGAGGGCAGCTGGCAATGCCCAGAGCACAGCTCCAGGCCAGGCCCCGTGCTGGGAGCTGTGGGTACATCGCCCATTTCCCCCACAAACCCACACTGCCAGCAGGTACTGTTTATCTCCCTTCCTCAGATGATGAAACTGAGTACAACGAGGTTAAGTAACTTGTACGTTGCAAGTGGAGGCACCCTGACTTGAGTTCTCCTTGGAAGCCCACAGGAATCTCCATCTGGAGCTCCACTTCTGGGGAACATGACCTAGGACAGAGGAGTCCAAGTTCCAGAGCAGCGTCCTCAACTGCCTACCCCAACCTGTGTGCAAACACTGTCCAAACCTGCACCTGCTGCCAGCCTGCTCCTCCCACGCACTCCCCACCCCATTAACAGTCGGCTGTCTTTGGGGCCTGAGCTGGACCTGGATGTCATCCTACCCTCCTCATCTGCCTTGACCCCAGGGCCCAGCCAGATCTTAAATCTTTGTCCTTCCTAACTAACCTTTCCCGCTATCTGTCCACTGCCCCTCCTCCAGGATCAACCACCTCTTACTGCACCATCTCTTACCTGAACCCCACAAGAACCTCCCACCTCCCCGCCTCTATCCTGACGCCCCACTGCAGCCAGTGATATTTCTAGAATGCAAAACCCTTCAATGGCTCCCCAACGGTGCAAACTCTTCCACGAGCTTTCCAAGACCTCTGTGATATGGGACCTTCCATCCTCTTCAAACTCCCTACTGATGGTTTTGGTTTTTTTTTTTTGGAGACAGTTTCACTCTGTTGCCTGGGCTAGAGTGCAGTGGCGTGTCATAGCTCCCTACAGCCTCAAACTCCAGGGCTCAAGCTATCCTCCTGCCTCAGCCTCCCGAGTAGGTGGGACTACAGGTGCACCCCACCATGCCCGGCCAATTTTTCTATTTTTAGTAGAAATGGGGTCTTGCTCTGGCTCAGGCTGGTCTTAAACTCCTGACCTCAAACGATCCTCCTGCCTTGGCTTCCCAGGATGCTAGGATTACAGACTTGAGCCATCATGTCCAGCCCGATGCCCTATTTTTCCTTCCAGCCTGGGAGGTCCCTGGCTGTGTCTCCCCTCATTGGGTCCTCCTACCCCGACTGCCTCGGACTCAGATAGCTGCACTTCCCTACTGTGTCACCACCCTGTGCACCCTGGAGAGCAGAACCTTGTCCATCTGTCCTGTGCAGTGTAAAGAGGTGTGAATGGATCACCCCTTCCAGGAGCCCCCCCTTGCCCAAAAGCTTTGGGTCAACTTCTCTCCTGAGCACCGCAGGGTCAAGGACTTCCTCTGATGTGATTTCGTGTAGTTGTGTCACCATGTGTGTAGTAACTGCTGGTCACTCTTCTGACTCAGCTGCTGAACAGAGACTTGTTTTTTTCTCTGTAAGTCCTCAGCCCCACCCTGGAGCTGGGCAGTGGATAGGCCTCTGTGATGGTTAATTTTATGTGGCAGTTTGGCGTGGCTCTGGTGTCTGGCTATGGTGCCCAGTTGTTTGGCCAAACGCAAGTCTAGCTGTTGCTGTGCGGGTATTTCATATGTGGTCTATAATCGGGTCACTTAAGTAAAGCAGATCACCCTCCACGATGTGGGGGCCACATTGGGCAGCTCAAGGCCTTAAGAGCAAAAACTGAGGTTTCCCAGAGAGGAAGGAATTCGGCTTCAAGACTATAACAGAAATCCCGCCTCGGTTCCAGCCTGGCAGCTCCCACACTCCCCGTGAGCCAATTCCTTAAAAGAAGTCTCCTTACACACGTGCACACGCACGCGCGTGCACGCACACAGGCACACACCCCCCTAATGGTTCTGTTTCTCTGGAGACGCCCACCTGCTACAGCCATGTCCGTGGGTACAATTTAAACCTAATTCTTGAGGATGGACTGAGCTGAGGAAAGCATCTCTCCAAAGAGGGGAGATTTTACCTTTTGACCCAAAAGTCCAGGTCTCCTCATCATCGAAGTGAGTGTCCCCGGAGATGGAGTGCTCCCCTGGGAAGAAGGCATGGGCCAGGGTGCCCCCCATCCCGTCGAAGGGGTAGCTGTCCTCGTGGAAGGCCCGGGCGAATTCGATGAGGATGTCGGGCTCCAGGTTTTGGGAAGAATCCATCTCGTGGAATGTGAGGCCCGACTCCACGCCCCAGGCGGCCAGGGCATAGGCCATGAGGGTCCGCACGGTCTCCGGGCTCAGCGGGGAGCTCTGGGGGAAGGAACGAACCCTGGGGGAATAGGAGGGGTGGGTGAGGGTGGCCAGTCAAAGCTGGGGCCCCGAAGGCAGGCCCGGGACTCGGGTGGGCACGGGCCTACCTCCACGTCAGCACTCGCTTCTTCCACACGCTGCCACCCAGAGCATACCGGCGCCGCCGCCGGACCAGCCCTGCCACCCCCAGCACGTCTGGCAGGGAGCAGCGGGGCTTATGCATGGTGGCTATTGTCACTGGGTCTGCAGGAGACAGTTGGGGGGGGTGTCAGTAGTAGGACAGCCAGACTTAATCATGGCATCAGGTAACTTTCTACCTGGCGGAACTGAGGCTTGCGAAGGTTAAGAAATTTGCCCAAGAAGGCCCTGCCATCTGGATTTGAACCCAGGCAGGCTGCCTCTGGAAGCCAGCACACACCAAGCTGTTACTGCTCCCTTCTCAGTGGCCTTGCCCTCTCTGCTTGGCCCTGGGGGGATGGGCTGCCTCCAGGTGCTGCTCAGGTTGGGATCTTCTGTCCTGTTTCCCCAGATCCTCATGGGCGGCCTCTGGAAAAAGGAACCCTGGGGTGCAGGGAGGACCCTCTCTTTGAGGCTGGAACCCCTTCGAGCTGCTCACACCCACACCAGTGCTTCCAAGTCCAAAGTCTCCAGGGCACCTGGGTCTCTATCTCCTGTGGCAGACCACCCCCTCTAGGGTCAGAGCCACCTGGAGTCCCCTTCCCCAGGTCAGCTTCATTCCCAGCAGCCTCTTCATCTTCAAATTAAGGTCAAACCACACCTCATTTGTTGAGATGACGAATAGTAACTGAGATATAGAGACGCCAGGTATTGTTCTAGGCAGTTCACAAGAGTGGACAAGACACAAAAAAGGTCCTGCCTACCTTTGTAGCAAGCCAGGATCTTTCAACTAATTCCAAAATATACATCCCAAAATTCAACTGCTTCTGGCCACATCTACCACCCGTACTCTAGGCCACCAACTTCCCTCGCCTGACTACAACCGCCCCCTTCCTGGTCTCGGAGCTCCCACCGTTCTTCCTCCATCAGCAACCAGAAGAAGCTTAAAACTGCAAATGAGGCCAGGCAGTGGCTCGCCCCTGTAATCCCAGCACTCTGGGGGGCTGAGGCGGGAGGATTGCTTGAGCTCAGGAGTTCAAGACCAGCCTAAGCAAGAGTGAGACCCCATCTCTACTAAAAATAGAAAAATTAGCCGGGTGTGGAGGCACCTGTAGTCTCAGCTCCTCGAGAGGCTGAGACAGGAGGATTGCTTGAGCCCAAGAGTTGGAGGCTGCTGTGAGCTATGATAACACCACGGCACTCTGCCCAGGGTGACAGAGCAAGACTCTGTCTGAAACAACAACAAAACTGCATGCATATCAGACCGAGTTGCTTCCCTCTGTAGAACACTCCCAAGGTTTTGGATCAGCCTGGGTACCAAACCCAAACAGCTTCCCCGCCCCTACACGAGGCTATTGCCAAAGCCCTTCAGCCCTCCTTCTGCTCCAGGCTCACAGACTCTTGCGTGCCACAGGGCCTTTGTGTTTGCCTGGGACACTCCTCTCCACATCTTCCCATGGCTGGCTCCTCCTCTTTGTGGTCTCTGCTCACATGACATCTTTCAGAGGGGCCTTCCCTGAGCAGAACAGCCCCTCAATACCGTTAGCACTTTATTTTCTTCAAAACACTCACCTCTATCCGAAATAATCCTGCATATACATATTCTTAATCTGAAAACGTTAGCTCCATGAGAGCAGGGACCGTATGTATCTACTCTGTTCACCACTGTGCTGGCGGGGCCTGGAGTGGCCCCGCATGTCAGCGATTCTCAGAAAATGTTTACGAAAGATGAATGCCTGAGAACCTCCCGGGTGGGGACCTGACGTCAGCACCCCCAGGACTCACAGGTCAAAGGAGCTGGAGGGAGGGTTAGACTGCGGGCACAGGGAGCTGCGCAGAGGCAGGGCTGGGGAGCGGTGGGGGCCACCTACCCATTTGGCCTGTCTCGGGCAGCCCCGCAAACCTCTGCATGACCTTGATGGCATCCTGCAGCTTCTCAGGGCTCTGCAGCTGGGCCTGGGCGGGGTGGGGTGGCGGCAGGTAGCCATAGCGGGTCAGCCAGTCCTAGGCCATCAGAGCGGACAGGTGAGGCGGGCAGGGTAGAAGGCATGGGCTCTCCCTGCCCACCCCCACCCTGGAAGGCCCGTCCCTCGCAGGGTGCCCTCCCAGCCCCGGGTTTGCCAGTCTGTGTGTGGACCCAGGAGTCCAGCCCTCGGCTCCTTTCCAGATCTCCAAATCCGGCCCTGAAACCTCCGGACGGATCCAAGATTCGGGGTTCTAGACTCCATCCTCAGTCACTCTGGACATCTGAATCCGGGCCCTGCCTCCTCCTGCCCCCAGCCTCCCTCTCCCAGCCTCCCCGCGGATCTCAGGAGCCCGCGGACCCCGCGCTCACCACGCCCAGGCTCACGTCCTGCGCCGTGGGGGCGCGCGCGGGTGGCGGCAGCAGCGGCAGCAGCACCGCCAGGAGCGGGAGCCGGGGCCGCAGCACCTGCCGCCGCATGGCGCGCTCCGGCCGGGCCCGCCGCTGCGGCTCCAGAGGGACCTGACCCCGCCGCCCCGGGGACCGGGAGGAGGTCCGGGCCCAGAGAGGGTCGGGGGCACCTGGCGCGGGGTAGGAGGGGGGCAGGACGGGCGTGTCGGGCGTCTGGGGTCCCGGGAGGCACGATAGAGTGTCGGGGGCGCGCGGCAGAGTCGGCGGGGGGCCGGGCGGGGTCGCTCGCCGGGTCGCGTGAGGCTGGGGCTCCCAGGAGTGCTGAGGAGGGGGCGAAGGTCGGGACTCCGGCTCCGCGGTGGCGGCCTCTCGAGGTCCCGGGGCTGGTCCCGTTCCCGCCGGGACGCTGCGCGGGCGGCCGCTTTCCCCGGGCGCTAGCGGAGAGCCGGGTGGGGCGGGGCGGGCGCACCTCGGTAAGCGGTAAGGGCGCGGCGCGGGAAATGGCCCAATCCTACGAGAAGGGGCGGGCCCTGCGGTGCCCCCCCCCCCCGCACGCCGGGACCCAGGGACCCTCCTCCCAGATCTTCAAAGCGCCTGCGACCCGCAGGACCCCGGGAGGGGGACGGCCACGAGCGGTCCCGGCAGCAGCCCTAGCCTCTCCTCCCACGACGCGGGGCGCGAGTTTCTCTTCCCAGATCGCGGCTCCGGTGGGACTCCCCGCAGCAGGACTCGCTTCTGCTTTCTCAGAGCCGCGCTGCCCGGGAGGGACGGCCGGGCCTCCCCTTCCTCCTCCCCCAGCCCGCTCCCCCTCCCCGCCGCCTTCCCGGGGACCCCCTGCTGCCAGCCGTCCGCGGCCGGGGGGATTTCCGGGCAGCAGGAGGCTGGGAAGGAAGCTCCCCCTCTCCGCGGGTCCCGGCCCCCGCCCGTCCAGGCCGGAGCCCCCGGTGCGCGCCGCCGCGGCTGCGCGAGGTCCGGATGCTCGAGCCCCAGCCCACGCGGGCCGCGCGGTGTGTCCCGGTGCCCTGCGCTCGGCACCTCTAGGTCCCCGACGCAGGGGCTGCTGCGGGCCGCGCCCCTCTCCCCGGGCGGCAGGGTCATTTAAAGCTCCACGCAGAGGCTGGAGGCCTGCCTGCAGGTGCCGGGAGCTGGGGACCGAGGAGCGGCAGGGAGGAGAACGGGAAGTAGAGACTTGGGCCTGCAGAGCCGCCCCTCCCGCGCCAGGACACCTGGCTGCTGCGAGGCCGGCGGCGGAGAAGGATCCGGAGGAACCCGGGAGGGGCCTTCCTGGCGGGGGCCGGGGGCGCCGGAGCTACCCCGCCCGGTCCGGGAGCCGCCGGGAGGGGAGCAGCGAGGGCGACCCGTTTAGATTTCAGACAGAATAAATAGGGAGCCGGTGAGCGAGCTGGCGACGCGACTGACACACAGGTCCTGCCTCAGTCTGCCGGGGCGGCCTGGACAAAGCACCCAGAGCCGGTCGCTTAAACTGGAGTTCGTTTTCTTGCAGTTCTGCGGGCTGGAAGGCCAAGACGAAGGTGCCGGCAGGGTTGGTTTTTCCTGAGGCCTGTCTCCTGGGCTCGCCGAAGGCCACTCTCTGGCCGTCTCCTCACGAGGTCGCCCCTCTGTGCACGCACGCACCCCTGGTGTCTCTTCCTTTTCTTATGAGGACACCCTTCCATGGAACAACCCACCCCAGCGGCCTCATTTTATTAATAATGTAATCACCTTTTTTTAAAAAAAAAAACAACAAGGTCTCGCTCTCACCCAGGCTGGGGTGCAGTGACTGGATGGATCAGCTCACTGCAGCCTTGCACTCCTGGGCCCCAGCGATCCTCCTGCCTCAGCCTCTGGAGTAGCTGGGACTGCAGGCGCAGGCCACCATGGCTGGCTAACTTGTCTAGTTTGAAAAGTTTCAAACCTATCAATTCCACCTACACATTGCAACGTGGATGAATCTCAGAAGCAGTATATTAGGTCAAAGAAGCCAGCCACCAAGACTGCACACTACTGTATACATGGTTCCATGTATAGGGTGTTTTGGAAAAGACAAAATTATAGTGAAAGAAAACAGATCCGGTGGTTGCCAGGGATTGGGGGAGAGACTGACGACAAAGGGGCATGGGAAACTTTTTGGGATGATTCATCAGGATCGTGGTGGGAGTTATGTTACCACAGACACACAGAGATATAATTTTTTTTTTTTTTTGAGACAGTGTCTCAGCTCTGTTGCCCAGGCTGAAGTGCAGTGGCCTGATCATAGCTCACAGTGACCTCAAATTCCTGGGTTCAAGAGACCCTCCTGCCTTGGCCTCCCAAAGTGCTGGGCCCAACAAGTGGTGTCTTTTATATTAAGAAAGTAGAGGAAGATTTGGCCAATGGTGGCTCACACCTGTAATCCTAGCACTCTGGGAGGCCGAGGTGGGAGGATTGCTTGTAGGTCAGGAGTTCAAGGTCAGCCAGAGGAAGAGCAAGACCTGTCTCTACAAAAAATAGAAAAATTTTTCAGGCATGGTGGTGCATGCTTATAGTCCCAGATACTCGGGAGGCTGAGGCAGGAGGATTGCTTGAGCCCAGGAGTTTGAGGTTGCTGTGAGCTATTATGACACCACTGCACTCTAGTCTGGGCAACAGAGCAAGACTCTGTCTCAAAATATATATATAAAATATAAATAGGCCAGGTGCCGTGGCTCAGGTCTGTAATCCCAGCACTCTGGGAGGCCAAGGAGGGAGTATTGCTTGAGCTCAGGAGTTCAAGATCAGCCTGAACAAGAGACCCCGTCTGTACTATAAATAGAAATTAGCCAAAACAACTAAAAATAGAAAAAAAAATTAGCCGGGCATGGTGGCACGTGCCTGTAGTCCCAGCTACTCGGGAGGCTGAGGCAGGAGGATCGCTTGAGCCCAGGAGTTTGAGGTTGCTGTGTTGGGGGCTGATTCTGGTGTTATGCCTTATACTAATCATTCATTATAGCCTGTAATGTCCGTGCGCTGCCTGATGCAGCAGTAGTCGCATTTTCTTCAGATGCAGTTGCTGCTTGCGACGTGATGAGAGGCCTGAGTTGCTGCACATAAGCAGATGCTCCCAACTCCCACGTGGAGGCCCCGCGGTGGGAGTCTGGAGGCCATGAGAACAACAACAAAAAGAACTCTCGGGTGTGGTGGGCGCCACGCCCGCCCGTAACCCTAGCACTCTGGGAGGCCCAGGTGGGAGGATTGCTCAAGGTCAGGAGTTCAAAACTAGCCTGAGCAAGAGCAAGACCCCTTCTCTACTATAAATAGAAATTAATTGGCCAATAAGATATATATTGAAAAAAATGAGGCCGGGCGCTGTGGCTCACGCCTGTAATCCTAGCTCTTGGGAGGCCGAGGCGGGCGGATTGCTCAAGGTCAGGAGTTCAATACCAGCCTGAGCAAGAGCGAGACCCCGTCTCTACTATAAATAGAAAGAAATTAATTGGCCAACTGATATATATACATAAAAATTAGCCGGGCATGGTGGCGCATGCCTGTAGTCCCAGCTACTCGGGAGGCTGAGGCAG